TTGCGACAAACCTCGCACCTGGTTCGTCTTGAACCAAGCTCCTGGGTTTGTCTAAGAACCTAGGTGTTGGATGCGTAGTAAACCTAGGCGTTGGGTTTGCCACAAACCCAGCTCCTAGGTTCGTCTCCAAACGGAAGATGAGGGGATTTTCGGTTTAGGGGGAAAGAAGATGAGGAAGAATACGATAAGTATTTTTGGTTTGTTTCTTTGATTGGATGAGGAGTAAGATAATTAAGTATTTTTGGTTTGTTTCTCTGATTGGGTGAGTATTTTCGATTTGTTTCTCTGATTGGATAAGGAAGAAAACAAATGTGCTTGGGCTGCTTGGTGGGTGATGTTATAAATTGGACCCTTATATAGTAGTTTTTTCGTAAATAAAAGGAAGTGTGAGGATAAAATGGGAAGATCATGTCAGTTTCATTAAACATAAAGCGAGAAGCTCCCGCGAAAGTAAGAAATTGGAGCTTTTGAGCTTTGCAAAGGAACGGCGAGAAGGTGAGCTTCTTGAAAGCTGCAAGACGTTTGAGAAGCTGATCCGTTTGGTGAAGCTTGTGCTTTTAGAGCCAAAAAGCTCTTTTCACAATCTGCACCAAACACCCTCAAAAGATGAAACTGTAGAAGATGAAACTAACTATAAGGATGATTTTATATTCAATGAAAAAAAGAAGGGTTCCACTTGAAGATATAGATGATGATGATGATGATGATGATGATGATTTATGATCATTTTCTTTGACTTTTAATTTAATGTTTTGGGATAGTATTTTAGAATCTACTATTTAGGTTATATTAAATTTATTTATTAAGTTATTGTCATTTAATTTAATATACTTTTGGTGGTTTTGTTGAATTTTTTTTTTATGACATGAAGTTCATTTATGATGTTACGACATTAGTATTAATAAAACATGTATATGAAATATACAATGATGATATGAATTTTTGTAATTTTTTTAATTTTTATACTATTTTCATAATTATTTATATAGATCATAAGATATTTTTCATTTTTCATGATCTTATAGTTTATGCCAAAAGAAACTTTAATAAAAGAAATGAAAATTTTTAAGAATTCAATTGCAAATCTAAAAGGTTGAGCTATGAAATAGAAGATTAAAAATGTGACATTAGGGGCCTATTTGAATGAATTTGAGATTTGAAAATTAAAATGCAAATAAACTATTATTGGGATACTAAAATTGCTATTTTATAATTAAAAAATTGATCAAATTGTATTAAATGTACTAAGAAAATAATAATTTATGTTTTTTCATGAGAAATGTTAATTTTATGATGTTAATTTTTATCCGTAAATAATTACAAACTTTTACATCTATACAAATTATGTATTATTTGTTTTAAAGGAAAATGTTTCTATTTTTTTATAATATTTAAGTGTTATCATCATCAAATTTACATATGATCAAATTAATTTATTTATGACAAATTTTTGTAAATATTCATGACTTAATTGTGATAAAAAAAGTTGTTACATCTTATGATTTTCTTAAGTAACAAATCACATATAGTCACAAAATATATTTATTACAAATAATAACTTTAGTCACAAAAAAAATTAGTATATGACAAATTTATTGTTTGTAACTAATATTTTACAAATAACTAATGGTTATTTTATTGTGATGATTAATTTTGACAGTTAAAATCTCAAGTAGTTTATTGTGATAAATCTTTTGTGACCGAATATAATTTTTGTATCAAAATTGTATATTATAATTTTAAAAACTAATATTTATGATTACTTATTAGTGACTATCATCTCAAAATAATCACAAATATAAAAGATATTAGTGACTAAGTGAAAATCAATCACCATTTTCAGTCATAAAAAACCTTTTTTTTGTAAGAATTGAAATATAATGTGCTATTTCTTCTATTGGTTTTGTATATTAAATTATTAGATGCTATCTTTATTAACATAAATTAATAATTTTTATTTTATGAATTCGTTTTCTGTTCTTGAAAGGTTCATGTACCTCAATGATATATACCTTGTTGTCATGTAAATTTCACCACCATCCTTCGATGAAATCCCCCACAAATTTAAGTGTAAAATTTTAGTCAGAAATTCACAGAAGAGCAGATCTTCATTCTTATGCTTTTCCTAGAGAAATTTTAGTTGTCTAAAATTCAAAGTAAAGTTAGAGTTTTTGTGTTTTATATTCTTATTTAATTAATAAGAATAAAAGATTTATTATTCTAATTCAATATTATCAAATTTACTGTTAATGTCAAATTAGAAAACTAGAAAGGAGAAGAATTTTCTTTCTAATTTTTTTCTTCATTTTAGCTGTACACCTAGAAGGCCATTGAAATCATATGAAAATAAAAAGATAAAATTCTATGTTAAACACTTGAACTTAATTTAAATTCTTGATTAAATCTCTAGATTTTTATTAAAGCAAAAAATTATAGAATTTGGTAATCTAAGTAATTTATTTCTTTATGGTTGACTTAATAGCCATTTGTGTCTCACTTGTGTGAATAAGATATTAACATGTCATTGCTTACTATGTGGTAAATATTGACCTTATCCATTGAATAAGTCACAAACGGGTGTCAAGTCTACAGTAAGAAAAAGGTTAAATTGCCCAAATCACCAAGTTTATGGACTTATATGCTTCAATAAAAATTTAGAGACTTAATTGAGAATTTGAAGCAAGTTTAAACACTTAAAATAGGGTTTTGCCAAAAAAATTTGTTAGGTGCTGTGATTGGGAATTATAATGCATATTGAAAGGTAAGCAAAACGGTGTGTTTTGGCGAAGGATTTTAGTGAATTTGACCAAAATGATCATCATTTCTTTCTTTTGCCTTCTGATGGGTTTTTAAGGTTTTCGGTTAATTCCTACGTTTTCGGGTAGGTGGGCCGGTATTTTGGGCTTGCATATAAATTTTTCCAAAGTCCAGTCCATAATATTTTCTTCAATTTGATGTTCTAGTTGACATTTGGTTTATTTCATAAAAATAAATACCTGGAGAGCAAAAATAAAATTAATAAAATTAATTTACATTTTTATATTTTATACTTTTATATTTAAAATAATTCTATAATTTTTATATTGCCTAAAATTTTCATAAAACTTTCAATTAAAAGTAAATAAAAAAATTGGGTTACAACATCTATAGGTTTCAATCTTGATTGCAATAAGACACACTCACAAACTAAGAAGATTATCTAGTAATACATTATGACCACCCAAAGTAATAGAATTGTCAATGGCTTCAATGAATCTCCTTATAATCGATATACTTGTGTAATTTAATCTCTTTGTCATTAATATTTACATCAAGCAAAAGACGTGTTATTTGCTATCATTCTTAAAGCTTGGTATATCTTCCTTTGATTTCTAAGATAAACATACTTCTTAAATGAGCTTTCATTTTTACTATGACCACTAACTTACAAGTGGTTTCATTTCAAATAAAAGGGTCGAAGATATATTTTCTCATAAACTTGAGAGAGATGGGAATCCTATTTTGAATACCTCATTACTTTCATGCGATTGGTGATGCACCCATAACCATATTACTTGCAATTCCTCGAAGTGCCTATTTTTAATAACATCAAAGTATATGAGTCCTAGCATAGAATTATAACGATTTTAGGTCAATTGATCATTTACACTCACAACATAGTTGAAAAACTACTAATGACATGTGCTTGTAAAGTTCTCATGATGAGTCAATCTAGTGCAATTGCTTATTCTGAGTCATCCTCATGTAATATAGGACTTTGTGAGAAGAACTCTTACCACCCAACTAAGTATCACATATTATAATTTTTACATCATTGATGTCATATCTCAATGATTAGACAATTTAAGATTGTTACTATGACATCATATGATTCTCACATTATAACAATGACTGTTATTAGCTTTTTATATAGCAAATATGCTAAGGACTTTATTGATATTAATACATGCAAAAGATTGACAATTAATATATAGTAAATAATGCCTCAAGTATAATATAAATATTGTAATCATAAGTACAAATAGAATTGGCTTAAGTGCACACTGTAATAATCTCCCACTTGCACTAGAGCCAACTATTAACATCTCTAATCTCACTAGCTTTCACATCTTTATCATGCTTGTTGATGAATGACTTTAGTAAGTGAATCTGTGATATTATCCTCTGTTACAACTCTACTAATAGTGATGTTACCTCTTTGCACAAAATCTCTCAAAATGTCGTATTTTTACAATGTATGCTTGGTATGCTAGTGAGATTATGGTTCCTTGGCAAGTGCCACCACTATAACTATTACGTATTTTTAAGATTATTTTGAAAAGAAATAGTACTATTACGTATTTTTAAGATTATTTGCATTTTTTTTGAGAACTTTAAGCTATTTTGAAAAGAAAAATATTCCTATAATTATTTTTAAGCTCACTTAACAATTTTTCTTATATTAATTTTTTATCAAATATAACAAAATTAATATTGCAAAATGGGTATCAATCTATGCTGTAAAAAATTAAATAAAAAAATTTCAAAACTATATTGTTTTAATAAAATTCTATTAGAGAAAATTAAAATATATTAATTATTTTAAAAGTAAAAATGATAATATTTTAGTTTTGTCTTATAATACTTTTTTAAAACTAAGAATTTTTAAAATATATTTTACCTAATTTTTATAAATCCAACTAATAAACATTAATCAATTAATAACTTAACAAAATTTTAATAAAATTTCATTAAAAAACTTAATAACTTTTTATACAATAATTTTTAATTACTTTTCCAATAATAAATTTTTTTTAATAAAATAATACTCTAACCAACGAATTTTTTTCATAAAAAGTTTTTCCAACCAGAAACACCTAGAAGTGAACGTGAGAAGAGAGAGTTTGTTCGGGCCGGGCCTAAGGTTGGGCTGCTCCAACTTCGACAAAAGCGGCAGCGCATAAATCCTTCAGTAGTGGGAGGAGCACCCGAGGCAGAAAATGCAGAAAATCTAAAACCCTAGACATATGTAAAACCCCAACTCTCCACTTGAGACGCACAGACACAGTACAACTCTGCCATTTCTCGCGCCAGAAATGGCGGGTCCTTTCCTCCGCTCTTTCTTCTCCACCACCACTGGAAAGTCCCTCTACTCTCCACGCGCTTCTCCTTTCCTCCCAGGCGCTTCTTCATTCCTCCCCCGTGCATTTTCAGCTGCCACAGCTACCGCTACAGCAGCCGACTCCAATGCCTCTTTGGATCCCGGCAGGCTGCGCAACGTCGCTGTGATAGCGCACGTCGACCATGGGAAGACTACGCTGATGGATCGGCTGCTTCGGCAGTGCGGCGCTGACATCCCGCACGAGCGCGCCATGGACTCCATAAGCCTCGAGCGTGAGCGCGGGATCACCATTGCCTCTAAGGTCATCTCACACTGAATTCAATGGAACTTTTTGAATCTGATTAATTGCAAGCTTTTACTTTTTCTTTCTTCTTTAAAAACTGGAAATTTTGTTCCAATGAATTCTATAGTGAAAAAGTAGTTATCTCCCTGCCATGTAAGATCACTATTTTTAAGTGGGTTTTAAGTTCTTTAGATTGTGTCTGACTTTATGGTGTAATAATTCAAGAAATTTGATGATATTTGTGTTCTAATGTTATTCTTGTTTCTTTTTGGGGCATGTTATGGACTTTTTTGGTATCAACAATTGCGCTTTCTCCCTATTTTAATGATAACAAAGAGTAGGGGGTGAGTTCAAACGTAGTATTAGTGTAAATGAGTATTTTTTACCCATTAGAAGTACATATGTCGTGATAACCATTTTCATTTACTGGGTTGAATCACTTTGATTGATTTTTCTGACACTAGAATTTTCTTTTAACTTGCTGTTATCAATTTGAAGGTCACATCTGTTTCATGGAGGGAAAATGAGCTGAACATGGTTGATACACCTGGACATGCTGACTTTGGTGGTGAGGTGTGTTTACTGATTGAACTTGGAATTAATTTTTAATTCTTTATCCTTTTTGATATTGGACTCTTGCTGCTTTTTGGTATTAATCATAGTATAAAGAGAAGAGGTTTACTGGGTATGAGCATGACATAAATACATGAATGAAGTATCTCATGCTAATATATTAAACTGTATGAGTTCAGTTAACAGTGAAAATTGCAGTTTTACCAAATAATGGATATGAGTTCAGTTATGTTTAGAATGAATCTGGCCAGATGATCATTCCTAGTTTTCCAGTTCTCTTCTGTTTAATATTAAAAATGTTAGTCTATATCTCTTCTGATTTAATAACTCTGAGTTCAACTTGTTGACTTGTGTTTGACATTAACATAAGTTTTGGATGAATATAGGTTGAGCGAGTGGTTGGCATGGTTGAAGGAGCGATTTTAGTTGTAGATGCTGGTGAAGGTCCACTTGCACAGACAAAATTTGTTCTTGCCAAAGCCTTGAAGTATGGACTCCGACCTATTCTTCTCTTGAATAAAGTAGATCGACCTGCTGGTATGGATACAGTGTTCATATCTGCTTTGAGGTTTACTTTGTTTCTAGTTTTTCAAAAGCAGACTGTGTGTGTATGTCTGTGCATATCTGTTTTTGTGAGTTGCATTTACCACTTTGGAAAATATTTATCAATGTAGATGTATTAATCTAGCCTCAACATTTATGTAGTTTCGGAGGAAAGATGTAATGAAGTTGAGACCCTAGTCTTTGATCTTTTTGCTAATCTTGGTGCCACAGGTGAACAATCAAATGCTTATTTATTTTACCCACTTCAGCTGTTACTTTCACAATCTTTAAAAATCAATGAGTAGGGTGTTGAGGTTAATTTATTTTCATATGTTCTTCTAGAGGAGCAACTAGACTTTCCTGTTCTTTATGCATCTGCTAAAGAAGGATGGGCATCTTCCACCTTCACCAAAGATCCGCCTACTGAGCAGAGGAATATGTCACAGTTGCTTGATACAATAATAAAACATGTTCCTTCACCAAAAGCAAGCCTTGATGCACCTTTCCAAATGCTGGTTGGTACTTCAGGCAGATAGTATGTTTACTTGCACATGTATTCATCCGGTCATGTTACATTACAATTCCATGCACTTTTATTACTTTCTTTTCTGTTTTTTCATTAATTTCATTTCATACCTTGTTTAGTGAAGAACATTGATTAAGAAATTTTTTCCTGTCTAAGCTTGAGCAAACTAATACAGATAATATTACTTTTATTGGTTGTTGGGCATAGCGATATATATCTTTTGCCATCTTTGAGTGTTTATGTGTAGTTTGCATTGTCTAATGGAATTGACCTGTGTATTTGTTTGCCAAATTTAAGATTTCTAAAACATACACATTTTATTTTGTCATCTACTGTTCTATGCATGATGTTGGATTTTGAATGGAGTTCATCTCCAATTCTGATGATAGCCTGAATGCTTGGTATGTTTTCGAGTTTGCCTGTGTATCTATGAATTTTCTATTGAAAGTGTATTGGCAACATGTGCACAGAAGTTTTATCTTCCTCATTATTCTATTTGACTCTGGGGTGACAATAAGTATATCCATTGAAATAATAAATAATGTATTACTGCATACCTTTGTATTGTTTTTATGTTCATTTTTTGTTTATTAATTATTTATGGCAACTTTTAGAAAGATAACTAATATTTTCTTTCAGGTGTCCATGATGGAGAAAGACTTTTATCTTGGACGAATATTGACTGGGCGCATTTCATCAGGAACAATCCGTGTTGGAGATAGAATACATGGACTGAGAAGCACAGAAAATGGGGTTCTAAAGATTGAAGAAGGAAAGGTATGTTCAGCTCACCTGATTGTGACAAAAAGGTAGAAAATTGCTGTTTCCCACTGGATTTTCTGCCTAAAAAATAAACTAATCTGTTTCATTGGGAGTTTGACCATACCTTAATTAAAATGTTTTGGTAGCTCATTGTCATTAAATGCAGTGTCTCTATATCCTACTCTGTAATTTATCTCTGTTTGAGTTGTTAGCTACAATTACTCATTACTATTGAAAAGTTGGTCTATGAATTCATCATGATATGGCAACTAAATTCAATCATTAAGAGATGAAATTTTTTCCACTGATCTTGTCCTTTTCTGCTGGTTTATCCTGACATTCAAATTATACATCAGCCATGTGGGTGAGCATGCCTGCATTTGCATCTATTTGTAACATATACGTATATGTATGTCAAATTCAATGTTAAATGTACTGCAAATCTCTTCCAAATTGACTTATTGCACAATTGATATTGTTTTGACCTTACATTAGTGATTTTTCTGTATCATCAATTAACTTGACATCATCTTGTAGGTTGTAAAGCTAATGAAAAAGAAGGGTACAAACATTGCTCTAATTGATAGTGCTGGGGCTGGTGATATAATATCCATGGCTGGGATGGCTAGTCCATCAATAGGCCATACAGTGGCAAATACAGAGGTAGGTGTATGTTCTTCAGCCTTTTTTCCTCTCTACTCAGTGGTAGGAAGCACAAGTAATTGTGTAATTAATTTATTTATTTGTTTTCAAAGTGCAGAAGGAAGCTTAGCACCTTAGCATCATTTGTGTTTTTAAGTTTAATATCTTGTTTATGCATGATGGATTATTTTGGCAATAAAAAAGGATATTATGACGTTTTCAGGTTATGACTGCATTGCCCACAGTTGAGTTGGACCCCCCAACTATTTCCATGACTTTCAGTGTCAATGACTCTCCATTGGCAGGTCGTGATGGTGTACATGTAAGTATAGATGATTCCTTTGCTGTCACTATATGCTGCCAATGTTCTGGTTTTATTTACATTGTGTATTTTCTTGTTATTTGCATAAAGTGCCCTGCCCTCCAATGCTGATCTACCAACCTTGGTATGATCATAAAATTTGTTTGCATCAAGTTTGTGCATGCTTTTACTAGGTTTGCCTAGATCTAATAAGCTTTATTGCTCATCAACATGCGTATTACCTTAACTTTTTTGGTTACCTCTGATGATGAGTTGTTCCACATGGGGCGGCCCTCCCCTTGAATTCCTCCCTACCTGTCTCAGGGTACGAACTTGAGACCTTCAACTTGGAGTCTCAAATTGTTGTCCATTCTTACCAGTTGAGACACCCCCTTGGCTGTGTATTACCTTAGTTGCATTGTATTAAATGCTTGTAGGTGACTTCATTCATTCTGGTAGAGCACTGAAATTATTGGCTGTGGGAACACTTCCCTTCTAATTTTTTTTCCTTCTAATATTTTTCTTGTTAGATACCTAAAATTTGTGCCAGTTTTGACAGTTTGTGGACATGAAATATAAACATAAACATGATTTACTAATTTGTGGTTTTAGTTAGTTAGAAATCAAATTAAAGATGTATTATTATTAAACTAGGAATAAAAAAAAAAAGAGAGGATGAATTCTCATATTCTCACAATTTATTATCGCCTTTTTTATAATCTGGTGATTACAAAATCCTATTGTGAAAACCATCCTAGGTACTTTTAGCATTTGGAAACTTTTTTTTTTTTTTTTCCTCAAAACATTGTTGTTTGGGTCACCATGAAGCCTCCTTTCTTTTTGTGAACCTAAAATTTGTGGTCTAAAGAGTAAAGAATGTTAGGTAAGACAATCCCCATGCATCCTTTTCACATTCCTGATGTAGAACATACTCGGACATTGTGATATTTCTACTTAAGCTGTTTAACATGCATAATTGAATATCCAAACCAGTATGTTTTGTTACATTTTGATGCCTAATGTTTGGTGGTGATACCATTCTTGTGCCATTGTGACTGTAAGCCATTGTATATAAGCTGATGAATTACTAATTAATTTTGCAGTTGACGGGAGGAAAGATTGGTGATCGGTTAATGTCAGAAGCTGAAACGAATCTGGCCATAAATGTTCTTCCAGGTTTGTCAGAATCATATGAGGTTCAAGGGAGGGGAGAACTTCAGCTAGGTTTGCTCTTTTACCTCACATCTATGCTTTTAAGTTATCTTATTGTGCATATTAACATGCTCTCTATTTGACCTAAAATTATTTCAGCTAATTGTGGTTTTGCTGTAACAGGTATCTTGATTGAGAACATGCGACGTGAGGGATTTGAACTTTCAGTCTCTCCACCTAAAGTCATGTGAGTTTTTTAGAATGCTTGCATCAGGCCCTGGTTTTGTGAATCTTGTACAATCCTGATAAAATTTTAGTCAAGTCAAGAATGTCGAATTGTGGCCCAATAGTAATATTGGTTTTACTAAAATTCTGTACCGTGGAATATAAATTTTCAAGTTCAATTAAAACTTCAAATTACAAAAAAACCAGAAATCCCATATGTACAGTACAGTCTACGTTTGGCTGGAACAACAATCAATGAGTAGGTGTTGAAGAAAACATATTTACATGAGGTGGGTATCAGTGTAACCTAATAATTCCAAGGCTTAATCAGCATAAAACAACCTTGTTAGTATTATTAGTAAATACAATTTATACCTAAGCTTTGGCAAGCATTCTGAGGTACATGGTCAGATTATTATTTAGTCAAAAGATTGTATAAAGTGAGGAGCTGTCTTGCTTTATTCACTTATTGGCTATGTTCTGTGTAGAGGTGGATTTTCTTTTTAAATTTTTAAGGCCGAAGGAAAAGTAGATATGAGTTTTCAGTTCCATTGGCATTCTGTTTTTAAAGTTTGACTGCCTTTTGTAGTTCTGCTTGTGGTAATTTTGAGTTGTAAATGGAATTTTATATTTACAAATATGGCAGATTCATTGTATTTATTCTTCCTTTTATTCAAATCCATTTACAGAGGACTGAATCTATGCATTTAATATGGTGTTACTATCTGTCTCTGGCCATAGATTCTTTATGTTTATTTGTTTCTTAGGCTATTTATTTTTTATGCTTTAGTAATATTGCCATCTTAAATCAGGTATAAAACTGAAAATGATCAGAAGCTTGAACCAATTGAAGAAGTGACTATTGAGGTAAGAAATCAGATTTGTTTATGTTCTGTCTTCCACTTTTTCTATTTGAAATTCAAACATCAGTATGTTTTTTTAGGTTAATGATGAGCATGTGGGGTTAATTATGGAAGCCCTGTCTCATAGGCGAGCTGAGGTTGCTGACATGGGTCCTGTCCCTGGAAATGTTGGCAGGACAAGATTGTCTTTGACTTGCCCATCAAGGTTTGGTCCTCATACCATGTTTAGTGTTATTTTAGTATTCATATTATTTAGTTTTCAGTGCTAAAGCCTAAGGGCATTTTATTTGCCTGTGGATTTGTATTTTGATGGGATATAGTTTATGATTCGTAAAACATTTAGTTTCTGACAATCTCATTACTCCTTATCTTTTTCACATTCTGCTCGTTTACTAAAAGAATGATCATTCTAACATGTTTGTCTAAAAACCCTGTTTTTTTTCTTATGTTCAATTGGTATCTTCTTCAATACAATGTCCAACTAACTGTTCAGCTGCAATAACTTTTGTTATTGTTACTGAGAGTTTGTGGCATCTCATGTACTTGTTTATGAGTGACTTTGGCATAACATCTTCTGATGTTAGCTGAACTAACTAATATGAGTGGAGTTATTGCCACACCATAAAGTGTTAATGCCACTCTAAATTGTTGTGCTTGTACTTTTATATCCCTATAGTCAAGCACCTCCTTAGGCAATCTTTTTGCAACCAAAAAAAGTATATTTAGTGTGGCAATAACACTTTAGGGTGTGGGAATAATAACATCACTAGAAGTAATATTTTACTTAAATTAGTTCCTTTCAAGGGGGGAGGGGTTAATTTAATTTTTCTTGATGGATGAATGACAGGTCAGACATGAAATTTAGAAATGGGGGTAATTTTAACACCAGAATATCAACCCCAGCTCATAACAACAGCTAAACCCTTGGGAGTGCTCAAAGTGAGAAATTCTTTATCATTGCTCATAATAAAAAGAACTTAAATGAGGAAATAAAATCTGGTTCTTGGCAGCACAAAACAATAATTGGTGGTAAAGTCATTTTGTTGCTGTGTGTGAGTTAAGAATAGAAATCATAATAATTAGAGCTGCCTGTGGACCTTTGTATTATAACCGTATAAATATCTTGAAAGTATCTGAGTGCAAAAAATTTGTTAATGGAGAAGATACAACTTTTGGTCTTTGCATGATGAAATTTTAATTCTCCTGTCTGTATTTTATCTTTTTCTTATTGCAAATTGATTTTCTAATAGGAAATGAGCTTATTCAATATATATCCTTCTTTGAATGTGCCTTAACTTTTTAATTTTATGAATACATTCTAAGATGTTTAGCCTTTTGTGATGATTGTTTCTTCTAGGTCATTGTCTGTTTCAAGCATGAGTTAATTTCCTTTATGCACAGTAGGAGGGGGGGCTGTTCAAGCTTGTTTGGTTGGGAGTAGTGATTGTTCCTTAATCAAATTATCAAAATAAAGTGATGACCAAAAAAAAAAAAAAACTAATTTGTAAAAATTCATTTGGTTGGAATTCTCCGAACCTATATATAAAGTAAATATTGAAACTTCTTTGCGAACTTAAGAATATGTATTTAATATGTTAATTTAGTAGAAACTATAATGATTAGGGCATAGATATTCCTAGCTTCTTAAAGAAGCTTCTCAATTTCACCTTATTTCTTTAGTTTGACCAAGGAATACCTATTTCTCCCAACCAAATATAACCTTCAATGACATTAAGAACTGTAAAGAGAGCATAACGTATAATGATAAATATTTAGCGGTTACAACGTTCTAATTATAGATAGATAGATAGATAGATACTTTAAATATAAAAGGGAACTGTTATGATCCTAAAGCCTCACTTCTTTTGTTTTTAAGTCCTGCCGGCTCCATTGAGAGTGGCAGTAGCTCATTATTGTTGGACCTAAGAGATCCCTTAAAGGAACAAAATTAGCTGAAGATTTCTAGAGAGTTTATATCCTGTATCCCAATTTGATTTCCAGCATGTTTGTATATTATGATCCTTTTTGCTTCAGCAAATTATCTTTTTCTGGTTTTATGTAGAGGAAATTTTTTCTTAAAGTTTCCTAAGAAATAATTTTTTTTTTCTTTTTATGAACTTCAGGGGCCTAGTTGGTTACAGAAGTGTATTCAGCAGTGATACACGTGGAACTGGATTCATGCATCGGGCTTTCCTTTGTATGTGCTCTGCTAGATGAACTTTTTTTTTTTATTACTTTTTCGTTTTTTTTTTCTCTTAGTATTGTGCCCTATTTTTCTCTCTGTTTCTGTTTCTATCATATGTGTTTCATTATGTCATTGATATCATTTCCATCTCGTGGGTTACCAATCTGGTTATCTAAAGAAGTATAGTATTGAATTAGACTCGTAATTTCAGATTAGATGGTCAATCATGCAATACAACTAACCAGGCCTTTATTATTCTTATGCCTGTGTATGTCTGGATTTATGCTTCAATGTTAATTTCATGTAACTAACACAAGCATTCCATTGTCAGTTTTATCATGTGTGTAATACAAAAAATAAGTATTAAGAATGTTTCTAATTCTGAAACAGCTTGATTTGATAAATTGGCATTGGCATGTAGGAATCTAATCTACATAAGATGTATAATTGTCTGACTCAGAAGTTGTCTATTTTGTTTTTATTTTCAGCCTATGAAAAATATCGAGGCCCCCTTGGGAATGTCAGGAAAGGAGTGTTGGTATGTCTACTTGATGTCATTTTGTCTGTTGATGCATTAGTCAATTAAATACTTCTTGCTTTGGTGGCATACTTTAGTAAAGGATCAAATACTGGTCAGAACTATATTTCAATTAGGAAAAATAGTCAAATAAGGTCCTCAAAATAATTTCAACTAGCAAAGAAGCCCCAATAAAGCTTTGGTAGCGAATAAGGCTCTAAAGTGGACAAAGAGGGTCATGTGGCCGTTACTTTCCATCTATTTGTGCACACATGGCCTTTAAAATGATAGAACTTTGGTGTCCAATAAGCTTCCAAAGGTGCAATCTACAGCGAATGTGCCCAAAGTGGATGGAGAGGGTTGTGTGGCGGCCATGTTCACTTTTGCTACAGATTGCAACTTTGGGAGCTTATTTTCCACCAAAGTTTCATCATTTTAAAGGCCAATTTATAAACAGATCAAGAGTAATGGCCAAGTGAGTGTGACCCCCTCTTTCCACTTTGGGTATATTTACTTTGGATACTCTGGGAGCTTATTTGCCGCCACAGTTTCATTAGGGGCTTATTCACAGGTGAAAATTATTTTGAGATACGAATATGCCTATTATTCCTTCAATTAAGTTACAACGAGAGCATTTTGGCCTAGAAAAGAAATTACGAGGGCTTAGCAGGATTGGTACCTGTGTCAAAACCATTGTGTTCTTGCAGCAACTCTAGGTGTGTGCACTTGATATACACAAAATGGTCTGACAGAAAATGCTCTTGCTCGTAATATTTAATTTAAAAATTCTGTGGTTGATTATTGGGAATCCTCCTCTGTTAAGGGAACAAATATATTTTTCAGTTTGTGTCAGTTAATGATGTGAAACTTCTTTATTTTCTTTATTGAACAGGTATCAATGGGCTATGGTACAATTACAGCTCATGCACTAACGAGTTTAGAAGCCCGTGGAACTCTCTTTGTGACTCCTGGGATGGAGGTGAGTGGTTTTTTTTTTTTTTTTGCTTACTGTAGAGTTGATTTTTATGGATATATATCAATCTGGTGCAAGGCTTGTCATACCGTCCATATATCAAGCAGTACTAGCATGCCTCTAGTGCTATGACAATGCTATTATAAGAGTTAAGGATAGCATAACAGACCTGTTATACATTTTGGAGAAGTAATGCAAAGTGGATGCCTTGAAATATCTAATAGTTTCAATCTACAGTGGATTGGGTTGGTTGGGTTAAATACATTTTCCTTTTCATTCTTCACAGGGAATGGACTTTACTAGTATTCTCTGAATGTTAAATTTCACTGATTATCTGAAATACTTATTGTTGTTTATCCTTTTTTGTGCAGACGTATGATGGTATGATTGTTGGTGAACATTCACGTGATTCTGATCTTGATGTAAGCTCTTGGTTCTTTTGTGAACAGAGTGAGGAGGGTGGGCTTAATTCTTTCATCCTGCATTCTCCTGTTCAGTTTCAATGTTACTGACCTTTTTGCCATTTGCTACCTTGTTCTAGGTCAACCCAGTCAGGACAAAGGAACTCACCAATATCCGTGCACCTGGAAAGGATGAAAACGTGAAACTATCTCCACCTCGCCTGGTATGAAGTTTTTTAGTCTTCTGTTTTATTTGTGCAAGGCTTCGTTTGACAGTGTTATGGTGGGCTATGCTATAGCACTAAGTATTTTTGGTATTTTACTATCCTAAAATATATATATAATATTAATTAAAATTAGTAAAAGTGTACAAAAAATTAATTAAAAATTAAAAATTTACCTTTTAAAATAAGGTGCTATGTAAAAAGGGGTATCTACGAAGCACTGACAAACGAAAACAAAAAGTAAATCTATGTGCCTCCTTAATAATTTCAATGAAGAAGGTTTCATACAGCTGCTCTTGTCACATGTTTGACATTTGAATGTATTTCCTTTGCAGATGACGCTTGAAGAAGCCATTGGATACGTCGCCTCTGATGAGCTTATAGAGGTAAAAGATTATTTTGATTTTGACTTTGATTTTAATTTTCAAGGATACATTTATATGCAAAACAAAATTTAATATTTTAATAAAGGATTTTAATTTCTCATCCTTTATTATAAAGCATAAAGAATGAATGCATTGTTTGCACCTTATTCAATCCGCTGCATTGCTTTTGGATTCTAATTTTAATCTGATATACTTATGTAACAACTTTTAATTCATAATTATACAGGTTACACCGAAGGCCATTCGATTGAGGAAGAGATATTTGGATGTTAACAAGCGTAAAAGCATGAGCAAAAGGCCAAAAGAGTAATTTTGCCAGAAGGAGGAGGATACCATTTTTGTCACCGAAAATTGTTGTACTACTCGCAGAATTTGACGTTGTAATGGTTATCATTACATAAAGGTTATTGTTTTAGATCGATAGGTTGAATTTTATTCTATTTAAAAAAAAAAATGATAAAGGGCAATGGAAGTTGATATTGCCTCAAATAGGTAAAGAAGAAAACAATAATTGTATTTGTGATACTGTTTCCATGAAGAGTTAAAAGGTAAAAAGTATGTGAGAATATGTATGTCAGTCTCGTCCAAAAAAATCTCAAAACAATGTGGCAGTTCATTTTGGGCTCATTTTTTCAACCACTCGTGTGGTTCAACTTTTGTTGGCGGCAGTATAGGGATGCAGTTGTTAAGGACATTATTTCATGAAATTTTGAATGACTAATGACACTCGAGACGAACATAAGATTAACGATATAAGTTATATTATGTTATTAAATTAATTAATATGTAATATTATAAATTTTTTAAAAAATAAAAATAATTAATTATTAAATAATATAAATTTTTTTATTATTTTAAATAACATAATTTATATTATATTATTAGTTTTGAATTGTAATAATTTAGGATACAGGTAGAAAAATTTTATATTTATTTAA